TTGTCAGGGATAAAGAAAAACCAAGTTGATTCTCCAAGAAGACATATCAATGCTTAATGTGCACACTCTACCAACAGAGTATCTAATATACAAGGCAAATGCTGACAGTACTGCCAGGAGAAGCAGATGACTCCTCTGCTAACACTGGTGATTTGGACACTCCTGTATCAGAAACAGACAGACCAACAGGCAGGAATCAGGGAGGATAGGGCGAACTCAAAGCACCACCAGTCATGGTCATACCTGCAGACTGCTTCATCCCACAACACCAGGTACACAGTCTTCTCAAGCTCTCACGGAACAATCACAAGGCAGATGACAGTCAGAGCACAAAATATATCCCAACACATTTGTAAGGAAGTTCTATAGTGACTACTCACAGGTCACAATGGGATTAAACTAAAAATCCATAGCACAGAGATAGCTGAAAAATCTCAAAATACTTGGAGATTTAACAATGTACTTCTTAACAGAACTTGAATCAAAGAAACTGAAGAGAAATTTAAAAATTATTAACTAAATGAAAATTAAAATATAACATCCCAAACTGTGTGGAGGGCAGGAAAAGCTATGCCCAGAGGAAAATTCATAGCACTGAATGTACGTGTCAGAAAAGTAGAAAGGTCTAAAATCAAAAATCTTAGCTATAAATGCTAAAATTAGGGCAGAAATCAATGAAATAGAAGAGTTAATCAGTAGAGAAAATCAATGAAACCAAAAGTGGATTGTTTGAAAAGATCGAGAAAACCAATAAGCTTCTAGGCAGGCTAAGTAAAACAGGAGACAGGATATAAATCATGCATATCATTGTACATCCAATGGGCATAAAAGTATAATCAGGAAATGGCATGGACAGCTCTGTGCCCACAAATTTAGAAAGCCAGATAAATGGAGCATATACAAGGACAGCTGGGATAGATGTACTGCTGATGTCTGTGGTTTATTGAGAGGAAGAGTCAATGCTTAAAATTGTCTTTTTTCTTGACCAACACTGCATGCTTGAATCTGGTAATCAGAATGACTGGTCTGAAAACAACAATATGCAGTATAAGAACCTTGTTGAACTCCTACCATCTTGTATGGTTAAGCTCTGCATCATTTTAATTTTTTTTTAATTACTTGTTACTGTCTTTGATTGTTTCATCAGTCTTACATTCTTATGTCTGGTGGACTGAGCAACTTAGTTGGAGATAGCAGTATGTAATGTGGCAACCATTGTTAATTCCTATCATTTTGTTTTGAGTTCATGTATCATTTTTATTGTTTTTGTGTTGTTTTGATTTTGTCTTCATTGTTGTTTTGTTAGTCTTTTTAAATCTAAAAAAATGTAACACAGGTTTGAAAGGCACAGTTTGTTAAATACTTTGTAGTAGAAGAAACAGACAATTTGCATAGATCTATATCTGTTAAAAATTAGATCAATAATTCACAAACTTCAAATAGAAATCACCAAACCCTAATGTGTTTAATGGCAAATTTTATAAGGAAGAAATTATCCCAATTCTCTACCATCTTCTAGAACATACCCCAAAAGAAATGTTCCTAACTCATTCCATGAGACAAGCAATATACTAAAACCACACCTAGACAAAGACACTACAAGAAAACTACAGATCTATGTATCTAATAAACATAGTTGCTAAAATCCTCAAAAAATATTAACAAACCAAATCCAACCAGGCATAAAAAGAAATATACACAATGACCAAGTGGCGTGTGTGGTTGGCTCAGTGTTAAAAATCAGTTACTGCAGCCATAACTTGCACAGGCTAATAAACAACACCACAGGTCACTGGAGTAGACATGGAAAAGGCATTTGACAAAGCCCAGTGCCCACAGAATAAAAACTCTCAGAAAACTGGGAGTAGAAGGGAACCTCCAGGACGTGATTTTAAAAGCCCACAGCTAACACCATCCTTAGTCGTAAGGATGCATGAAGAGAAGCGATAAAGCAAGGTTGTTCCCTTTCAATGCTCAACATCATATGGAAAATCCACCAAACACAACAAAAAAATGGAAATAAAAGGTGTACAGTTTGGGAAGGAATAAATAAAAGTGTTTTTGTTTGCAGATGACATAACTGACATAAAGAATCCAACAGAATCAAGCAAAAATCTTCTGGAACTAATGAGTGAGAACAGTAAGGTTGAAGGTACAAGGTAATCTATAAATATCAATTGCTTTCCTGTGCACCAGCCACAAATAAGTGAAATTTAAAATTAAAAACACAAAGACACATTTACATTAGCACCTCAAGAATGAAATACTTAAGTATAAACCAAATATGTGCAAGATCTATATAAGCAAAACTACAAAACTCTGGTCAAAGAACTGAATAAATGGAGAGATATTCCAAGGTTATAGATGTTCGTCAGTTTCCCCAGCTTGATCTATGCTGTCAATTAAATCCCTATCACAATATCACCAGTTATTTTATGAACCTAATAGCTGGTCCCAGAGCTCACAAGGAGGCAGAGGACTCAGCAGCCCCACAGCACTAAGGAAACCAAGGCCAGCTCACCTGAGCAGCTGACTCCCAGGAAAGCTACAGAAATGGAGACACAGTGGAAGAAAGAACAGGCAATGCGAACAGTACGGGGTGGCCACCCAGAATAAATCAACACGAACACACAGCAAATGTGGTCTTTTCAACAAACAGTGATGGGAAAACTGGATATCCTGGAGCAAAAAAACTGAACATAGGCAGAGATTTCACATCCCACACAAAGCCTAACCTAACGGAACATGTTAAGTGTGAATCACAAAACTATAAAGTTCCTAGAAGATAATGTAGGAAAAAAATCTAGATGACCTTAGATTCAGCAATGGCTTTTTGTGCACAACACCAAAGTTATAGTCCATGGAGGAAAGGATTAATAAGCTACACTTTCTTAAAATTAATACCTGTGTTCTGCAAAAGATATTGTAAGGAAAACAGAAAACAGGCCACAGACTGGGAGAGAATATCTGCAAAAGATACCGCAGTAAAAGGCTGTCATTCAAAACAGACAAGAACTCTCAAAACTCAACAAAAAGAAGGAATCTGAGTCACAGCATGCTGAAGACCTTAAGCAACACCCAAAACATGCAGAAGCTAAATAAAGACAAGGAGATACACTCCACACCACATGCCATTAGGGAACACAGACTAAAACAACAGTGAGGTCTATGACACACTGATGAGAAGAGCGAACCCAGAATATCTTCAACAGCAAGCACTGGGGAGGAGGGAGGACAAGGGTGCCCACTTCCTGCTGCAAAACTGGACCCTCTTGCCAATCTAGCAATCACCCCCTTGGTACTGACTGAAGGGGTTGAAAACTTGAGTTCATACAACTTCACTCATAATGACCAGAACTCAGAAGGGATCCAGATACCCTTGAGCAAGTAAGGAGATAAACAAACTGTGGTCCACCAGACAAGAGAATACTACTCAGCAACAAACGAATGGCTACACACTATTAGTCCAACCATGATGTTCTGGGAAAGGCAGGGGCAAAACAAGATCAGTGGCTGCAGAGGCCTGAGGGGAGTCAGCAGGTGGCAGAGGAGGACATCACGCAGTGAGACTGCTCTGTAGGGCCTGGTGATGGTGGACATTTGTCACGACACAAGTGTCCAAGCCGCAGAATGCACAACACAAGAGGGCACCCTTATGTACTGATAGCCTTGGTACTGTGGACATGGGTCACAGGTGGTGAGAAATGCACCCCTCACAACAGGAGGCCGTGCCAAGCACTGGGGCACATGGACCTCTATACCTTCTGTGCACCTAAAATTGGTCTAAAGAAATTAAGTCTATTTAAGAAAAAAACAGTAGCTAATAGCACTGGAGCAAGGAAAAGAGGCAAATGACAGCTTTCCACGATGATGTGGGTGTAGAGCTCACAAATACAATTCTGAGGGAAAACACAGCTAGACACAGATATGCATCATGTCTGAGTCCATTTATCTGAAATTTAAAACAAGCACAATTCATCCACAGCGCCAGCAGATGTGGAGGACCAAGGGTGGCGCCAGCTGAGGCCCCAGGCACTGGCACCATGCTGTTTCTTGACCGGGCAGTGAATGGAAGATTATGCTTTTTCTGGATATTCACTGATGCCATTCTGCTGCAGGAACCAAGCCGGAAGAACCCTAGAGGACAAGGAGCCAGCCACGGCCCACGCAGAAACAGTGACCACCTCTGCCGATGGCCCACAGTGCTCCACTAACCTAAGCCACACCACAGGGACAGCCCCAAGGAGGAAAAGCTCATTTCCCCACATCAGGGCTGCCAGCATGGAGCCTGGTTTGTCCTGAAATCATAGGACACTCCAGTCTCCAGGACAGGACCAGGAAAATGGCGGCCAACTTTCACAAGCTAGGTCACATCTCTGATCTGTCGTCATGATGTAAAGCCTGCACAGGACAAGCTGTTGGGGAGTAGGGGACAAGAGGACAGAAGGCAGCAAGGAGGAAGAGGAGGGGGAGAAGGAGAGAGGACCAGTGTAGAGAGCCAGCCTCCAGGTCCTTCCCCTGGACCTTGGAGAGCTGCAAATGCACTGCTAATGAACCAAGGGGGTCCAGGGGCCTGAGGCCAGGCCAGCTGTATGACTCTGGCTCTCCTGGATGGCTCCTTGAGGGGCAGGGGTGTTTTGTAGCTGGGCAGCCCCTACCCCTGCAGCTGGGCTGGGACTCACCACCCTGGAGCCATTAGGCCCATGACTGACTCTGGTCTGAGCAGGGTCCCCATGCGCCCATAGCCCTGGGAGGTCACACCCAGCACCAACATCAGTGTTGAGAGCCAAGCTGGCTAACATGCCCAGTGGCCAGGCCCATTTGGAACCCAAGACCTTGAGATCCAAGCCCATTGTGTCTGGGCCATGCGTCACCCTGTCCCTCCCACATCCTTCAACAAACCCTATGGACAGCAGGTGTCAGTGCCCTCCCAGAGGTAGGGAGACTGGGTCACCACCCTGGGCACAGCTACGGTGGATAGGAAGTTTGGCGGACCCTACCTTGGTGAAAGTCAGGCAGTCCTGGTCCTGGTCGTGGTCCTTCATCTCGAAATCGTACAGTGCAGTGCCCTGGGGCGGGGCCTGTGGCAGGGGTCGGAGGCACTGGACATAGCTAGCTGGGAGGAAGCCCCGTGTGCCGTGAAGCTCGCCATGGAACCAGTGGTCATCCACCCGGCGCCGCAGGATGATGACATCCCCTTTATTGAACTTGAGGTCCCCGGGCTCCTTCCCTTCATAGCTGTAGAGAGCCTTGCCGTACGGGAGCTGGGGCAAGCTCTGGAAGCAGAAGACAGCACAGGGTCATTGGAATTGCAAAGCACCTGCTGGGTGGCCTGGGTTTCCAGGGGCTTCTGTGTCCCAGAGAGCAGGCAGCCTGTCCGGGAGCTCAGTGCTCCCAGCCCCGACTGGAGAGTTGGGTCCCCGCTGCAGTGAGAGGTGGCCTCCTTGCCTCGAGGGGCTAAGTCCACAGGCAACCTGCCCACACTCAGGGGCCCACAGATGTGAGTTTTCACACGCCCACTGCTCTGTGCTGAACTGATTCTCCCTGACTACAGTATACCAGGGAAGTGCTCCACAAAGCCGCCAGATTCCCAGGAGCTATCACCCAACAGAATTTTGTTTTGCCTCTTGATCACTTCACTCAGGATACAAGGATTCCAGATCTGCACCCAGCACATGGATCATGCTGCACCCCCACCAACTCTACGGGCTCAAGCATCCACACCCACTCACCAGGCCCAGGCAAGGGACCCTTGGTCCCTATCACAGACCTCCACCAGCCATAACACATGCTTTTCATTACATACAGCTGCCTGGGCCAGACACATGACTGTGAGGGTTTAGTCCTGTCCTCTTGGTCAGGCACTCCTCCTGCCATTCCATTAAGGGTGAGTGGTCCATCTACTCCATTCCAAATGGAGCCACCTACTTTGGTCTCAAACCTCAGTCTGTCCTGAAATCTGCCAGTGAGTCTCTGGCTGCCTTCTGCCCTAAACAGTCCCATAGCTCAGCCTAGTACTGCAGCCAGCCCTGCACTCCCACCGCAGGTCCCATGCTGCAGAACCTGGGCCGTGTGGGCTCCACCTTCTCCTTACAGCTGGCAACACCGGCCCAGTGGTGGGCTTTCCTGACAGTCCTGCCTGTGCAGAGAAGCACTGCGCTGTGACACCCACAAGTCCTCTTCTGAAGCCACACTTTTGCACCAGGTTGTCTGTACCACAGTCCCTGCAGCACCCAAACCATGAGCAGCGGAACACAGAAGCCGCTATGTAGCAGGGACCCTAGCCATAGCAACCCAGCTACGGCAGGTAGATGTTGATGGCAGCAGGGAGACCAGCCGGCAGGTGAAGCAACCACTGCCAACCACCGCACGACAGGTCAGAGAGTGTGGAGAGGAAAATCACTACAGGTCCAGGACACTCTCTCTGGACAGCAGCAAAGAGCACAGGCTGCCACGGTCAGCTTTCAGAGAGAAGCAAAGGGGACAAAGGGGGACAAGGGCTCGAGCTCAGCCACCACAAGCCGCTGGGATGCCACCACTGTAAGCCACCAGGATGCCACCACTGTGGGCTAGCATCATGCTGCAGGCCACCAGGATATAACTGCCATACAAGACTGGCCAGCCTGTGCTCAAGGATTCACAGGCAGTGAGTAAGATGTCTGAAGACCTTTTTGGCTGTCACACTGGCAAGTGGGTGCTGCTGATGCCTGGAGCGGAGAGGGTAGGAAGGCTGCACCAACCCAACACAGAACACCCAGCAACATGGATCATGGGCCAGGATGAAGGCAGGCTGGGAGACCCAGAGCCTGTTAGCATGAGTCTGCAAAAGAGCAGGGTATCCCTTCCCTCCTCCCCCCTTCCTTCTTTCCTTCCTGTTTTTGGTCTTGTTTTGTTTTTTGAGACATGGTCTCAGTAGGTTGCTCAGGCTGGCCTTGAACTCTTGACACTCCTGCCTCAGCCACCTGAGTATCTGGGGTTATAGGTATGGACCACCACACCCAGCCAGGGTGACTTCTTGTTCTACTTCAACTTAGCTTGCCGCTATTTTAAAAGCTTAATACAACATTTATTTTCATAATGGGCATATTTTCACCATAGCCACAAGAAGCTTGGGCTTCCATCCAAGAGAAGATTTTAAGGGGCAGAAAGAGCTGTGTGAAGCTTGAAAACTGGCTCTGCCAGGGCACAAGGGTTGCACACAGTCTGCCCCTGCTCCTGTGGCTATTGGCGCCCAGGCAGCGTCCCAGGGCCTCGGCCTCATGGCTGGTTGGTCCCTCTCATTACTGCTGGTCACCACAGTGAGCAGGCGAGGCCAGGTTCTGCCTTAACTTCAGCTCTCGTGCTGCCCAGTAGGATGGGGACACCTGGCCCAATCACGCCTGTCCCAGTGTCCTCTAGATAGTTGACACAGGCCACCTGAAGACACCACTCACACAACAGTGTATGCTCTGGCCTCTACTTGCCCAGTGCGGCTGGAGGGCTGGGGCAGGGCACAGGGACCAGTGTCACTGTCTTCCCATCCTGGCAGGCAGGTGTTCCTAAGCCTTGGAAACCCAAGCAGACTCCTCATCTGAGCCCTGGCCAGAGGTCACCCACCATGATCATACCCCAGCCCCACCTACAGTATCCCAACTCTCAGACACTAGGGTTCCACTTTCCTCTGCAGTTGCTGCTCCAGGCAGCTCACCCTGCCAGCACTTGCTGTGAGCTCGCTCTACAGCCCTAGTCCTGACCATGGACTCCACCAACTGCCAAGCAAGGGCTCCCCATGTGCTCCATGTCCAGGCTCTCAGAGACCCTGTGTTCCTCCAGTCCTACCACCCTTCTCCCACCACACCCCAAGCCAAATTAGTGCTGGCCACTGTATGAGCATAAGCTCCCAGCACTGCCTCACCACCCTAGGGTCCAGGCTCTTCAACAGAGCAACCACAGCCCCTGCCAGCGCTGTCCTTTCCAGAAGAAGTGTCCACTCTCAGGGAGGACATGGTCCTGGGGCCTTTGGGCTTTACAGATCGAGGTTCCCACCATGCACAAGCTGGGCTCCCAAGGCTGGGAGGAGGATGGTGGGGAATAATGGGGAGGGAAAGTAGGAGGGAAGTAGGAGCAGGAGGAATCTGAAGGCAAGGGGACAGCACCCACTGCTCACCCCACCTGACCAGCACGGGACAGAGCATAGCTCCGGGGCAGGAACCTTTAAGGACCTAGTACACTGTTTGAGGGAAAAACATAAAGTCAGAGTAGGTGGGTTACAAAAGGCAGAGGAGCCGGGACCCCAAGACTGGCAGGACCTGCTCAGAAACAGTGAAACAAGACATCTCCATCTTGCATCCTCAGTGCCTGTGAGATTCACCAGCTAGTTGATGGAGGAGCCCAGGCACCATTAGCTCTACAGGGAAAGACTCCTACAGACTCACTGGACTGCCCAAGTCCTGAGGTTCACACCCTCATCCCAGCCCAGGGGCCAAGCTGGCACTCTGAGCCACAACCTTTCTGCCCACAGACAGATACCCCTGCAGCACAGTGGGACATCCTGAACTCTACTGTGAAGCCACCACTAAGGAAAGGAAGAAAAGGCAAAGGTGGGAAAGAGCCTGAGATATCTACAACACAATGCACATGAGCTACACCTGCAAGGCACAATAATAATTAAAACCCAGAATGTTGATTTCATTACATGGACATGGCACACAGATCTTCCTCTGGGTTAATGTCCTACCCCATGGAGAGGAGACAGCACTCACTCAACACTCATGCACACATGCACAGCAGGGCACCTCTAAGAGATCACACACTCATGCAGTGCAAGCTGTGACAAAGGGGAGAAGCTGGTGCCTGATGGACCCAGAGGACTCATTGTCCCTGCCCGCACCTCCCACTGGCAGTGGAATATCAAGAAAAAGGTTAAATAATGAGAATCAATGAAATGCATGTGTTTGATAGGTGAACTCGGCTGCATGCCATTTCTTACAAGGAAGGGCTGGCTACTCACCTTGGGAAAGAAATGTTATTTACAATATCCTTGAGTGTGTGTGCCCTTGGTTCTATCCAAAGCTGGGAATGATCCCGTCTAGCCATGCAGGCCTGTTGGCACCAAGTCATTTTTGTCTGAACACAGTACTTAAGAAAGTGAGGAGCTAAATGTGGTGCAGTATTTTCTCTTGCCTGTTGAATGGTTTGTCTCATGCAAGAACCTTACCCAGAGGATTCCCCTTCATCTTTGGTGCTCTTTCCTGCCTCGCTGTGTGGTAATATATTATTTGACTATGCTAATATCTGCTGTACTTTCATAATAAACTTACTTTCACCTTTTAAAAACCACTATGTGGCTCTTCTCTAGTTGGTGTGGATCCAAACCTCAACTTTCTGTGGCCACATAAATGTAGCTCCTTGCTGCTACACAGTGCCCCACTGTCAGCCCACACCAAGCCCAGGCCCAACACAGGTCACAGCCTCAAAATATCTCCCAGATTACTGTTTGAGAGTCCTCAGAATCAGAACAGAGTCATCTTTGTGGAGCCCTAATCAAAGAATAAACTGATAAAGCCAGAGGTCATGAAGAGGGGTCTGTGCACATGCTGAGGACAGGAGCTACTCACGGAAGACTCTTTTTGAACTGTGATGGTGCACACACCACACAGATGTGCTGCATAGGGACCTGTCTGATGCCATACCATGCCCAGCCTCCAGCAGGGACTATAGCTTCAAGGTATCCTACACAGCTCTCCTCATCATGTCCTGGAATTGCCTGTGCCCACCATTTACTATGACACCTGGGTTCCCATTACAAGTGAAGCTCACTCGTTATTCTCAGGACACACCATGATTATTCAGGTTGACAAGGACATGGACTTACATACCAGTGCCCTGGATTGGGGCCTCACCTAAGGAAAATTCCGTTATTTCCCCCAGGATGTGAATCCAAAAAATAGGGGGAATGCACATCTGGGCCTCTCCTCCTCTCTATAAACAGCGCCCCTCACACTCCTCGGATTGGTCTAGCACTGTGCTGCCCACTCCGTGCTCCTGCTGCCCACTCATGATTCTTACCACGGGTGGAGCAGGTTGTATGGGTTGCACTAAGGAAGAGCTGGTAACACCAAGCACTATCAGCCCTGAAGAGCTTCAGTGAGCAGTGCAGCCCCAGCTGCATCCCTCCCTCTGCCAGTCCAGTCAGTGCCTGCAGGTCCAGAGCACAATGCCCCAAGGGCCTCAGCAAACAGGGCACCTGGATGCCCACAGAGCGGCATTCTTTGTGGTAGGTGCCCCAACCGTGAGT